ATGAAAGACTGTGATTTTTGAGTATATGATATTAAAATGGACTAATGTGTACCATATAATACTACTAAAATCATATATAAGAGTATTATGGACATTTCATGCTTATTTATTTATAGAATATGCAATAATTATGGATAAATTTTTTTGACTATTGAATAATTATGGGATGGATATTAGACAATTTATAAAAAAGAAAATCTATTTAATTCTAAACTCATCCTTAACATATCACGATTCATTCTTGAAAGAATGTAATTGATTTTTTTCACATAACACATTTTCATACATCCAAATTTTTTGGAAATAACAACAAAAATGTAGTGAATTGTAGCCATTTTGAAAGAATACTTTTCATATTTGAATAAGTACATTATTTCTTGAATATTTTTAAAATTTTGAAATAATTATATAATAATGAATGGATAATCTACTAAAATCCTAACCATTCTAAAGAAACTTTCATTCTTGAAGTACAACATTGTTATTTCTTAATTTTTCTTAAGAAATTGTTGTCATTTTTAAAAGAATGTGTTGTAATTACTTGATTCTTCTCTTGTATGTGAAACACAACTTCGTCTCCTTCATAAGACAAACTTTCAAACTATTGTCATTCTTCAAAGAATGTTTCCTTCAAATAAATTAGGGAAACTTCATAACACACCTCCATTTGATTTTTTTTTTTTTTTTTTTTTTTTTTTTTTTTTTTTTTTTTTAAGAATTTGGTTGTATATCCATGTTATAAAGTGAGAGAATATACATGTACAAAGAAAAAACAAGGTTAATTCTTTTAAGATTCAAACCAACATAAACTAAAATAAATTGATGATATAATGGCCTATTTTAGAATTAAAATGTTAGGTTGTTTTCTATTATGAATTCAAAAACAAAAAGCACTTCCAATACGACCCTATATTGAACTTTTCACCGATAAGAATCAGAATACGGATATAAATGCTTATTTTATTAAGAATCAACCAAGTAGTATTACATACAATTTAAAAGATTATACTGTTTAGAATTAAAATATTTAGAAATAAAAATGTTATATTGTTTTTCTGTCATAAACTTAAAGCTTATTTCGGTAAGAATCAACCTATTATTCTTACACAATTAATATTTCAAATTTTTCACTAACAAAACCTCATAATAATACAACAAAACACATCGCAACATCGTCTCTAAACAACTAACGGACAATCAATATCATAATTAAATGTAGAAATCGAGCATAAAAACATATCCGTGCAGGAATTTTACGATGGAATAGGAATATCATCAATTAGAACTGAGAGATTTTCCAAGTGGGATTTTCCAATGGAAAATTAAATGTGTACCGAAACACATAAGAATCAGTATCTTAGAGCTAACAATAGTTTTGAGTTAAGGAACAAGGAGGGGAAAAAGAGAAAGGCGTATATACCAGATCGAGTGTTTCATTTTTGATTCCTTCCAAGATATATTTTCTGGGAATTTTGGAGGGTCAACTTTGTTTTAAAGAGACCCTTCGTACCTCTAACAAAAAAAAAAGCATAATCAACTAATCCAATGGAATCAATTTTTATGATTCTTATATTCGATTCTTTTAAAATCATCTTAAATCAAAGAAAGCCCATCAAGATTCTTAATTTTGATTTTTTTTTTTTGTATCTTAATTTTGATTTTTTTTGTGTGTGTCTAGGTATAACCCCAAACAAAAAAGCAATATTTTTCATTCTTTTATGTTCCTTCCCGACCAAAACCTAAAAACCATTTATTTTGTTTGCACATCCGAACCAAAAGGAGATTGTTCGAAATCTATATCGGTTAGTCATCAGAAATAGTCGACGGAAAAAAGAAAGAAAGAGGCGGTGGCCGACAACATCCGTTGTTCTTCATCTTCAGTAGTCGATGAACAGAGAGAATACGGTTGTAGATGGTGGTGCAACCGGTGGCACCGATCTACAAAGAAAAGATGTTTGTCGTCGATTTGATGGAGATGAACCATGGTTGTGGCTGGAGACGAAGCGACTCTGATGAAGCATATAGCTTAAGTAAGGAAGAGAGAGAGTATGAATGATATAATTATGGAGGTACTTAATTAGTTATCCTATTTAGTGGATTAAATTAAAATATAAGGTTGCACGGTGCGGTGCATTTTTTACCGGTGGCAAGTGGACAGTATTACCGGCAGTGAACACCGCCCCCTACATACGTTAGGTGTACATATGCGTACGCTTAGCGTACTAGGGAGGATTGGACGCGAGCATGCATCACGTACAGCCAAAGGATCCAGTACGCTAAGCGTACTGATGAGGTACGTTGGGCGTACACTCCTTAGAGGAGTTTGGGCTTCGTTGGGCTTTTGAGCTATTTGGGCCCCATTCTATTTTGGACCTGGACCCGTCAAGAGTTATTGGGCCTTTGTACTTGTTTTGGGCCATTGGTGGCATGATTGGGCCTATTGGGCCTTGTGGCCCATTATGGTTTTGGTCCTTGGATGTTAGGCCCATTTATGAAGGAAGGCTTTTGGGTCATATTGGAAGAGTTTGGTCTTAGGATTTTGGGCCCTTGGTTAGGTTGGTGTCATAATCCTAATCAGGGTAATTTGTGTATTTATACAGTGTGAGAATTTGGATTGGTAGCCGAGCAGCTATTATTTTCAGCAGATCGAGGTGAGTCTCTTCCCGGTATTATGGGTTGAAGGCACCAAGACCAACCCATTATCTGTTATGTAATGTGTTAGTTGTTGTATATTATATATTATGATCGGGTTGAGATACACCCCAGGGCGGGAGCCCAATATGATAGGTCGGGTTGAAATATACCCCAGGGCAGGGCCCACTGTGATTTGTTGGGTTGAAATACACCCCAAGGCGGGAGCCCATATTTGTGTTTGGTTGGAATGAACCCCAAGGTTGGGCCCATTTATATGATTGGTATGTGTTATTTGGGAAACTCACTAAGCTTTTGCTTACAGTTTATTTGGGTGTTTCAGGTACTTCCGGTACTAGGGAAGAACCCGGCTTGATGGCACAACATTCACTCTCCAGCATTTTCCGCATTTATTGTTATGGATACTCTAATCTTTTGTCATGACTTGATGTAATGGACTACTTTTAAACCAATTATGAATGAAATTCCTATTTTAAAAATGAAAAAATTTTATCGGCGAATTTCGGGTTGTTACAAATGAACCCTAAATCCGAGTTTAGGGTGCTTAAATATGAAGAAAACCCTAAAAGATCATGGGCTAAGGCTGCAACCCTTTTCACGTCGTGACCAACTATATGTCACGTTGTGACTGCTCCTCCAGACACGTATTCTTCAACTCAGCTTGTCACGTCGTGACCTCCCTATGGTCACGTCATGACCTCCCTATGGTCATGTCGTGACTCAAGTTTTTTCTCAAAAACCATGCATTTGACTCTTTAATGCTCTACACTGATCCATTCTGAAAAACGAGTATTACAACAGCATATAGATGTTAAAAAACAAACAACATTTTTATTGCAAAGTATATTTATTTTGTTCACCTTTTTTTTTAACAGATAAGATCTGCAGGCTGTATACTTTTTTACCTTTTTAAAACACAAACACCACCTTAGATAACTATAAAACTAAGAGGTTATGAGAAAAAAAGTGACCGTATAAAAAACCCAAAAATGTCTTTCAATTATAAGTCTTGATGTAAGAGTACAAACTTAATTATGTTATCGTTAAGAGATATTCAATTAGATTTTTTATACTTAGTTATTATTTGTTTTTTGTTAAGCATATCGTTACAACGAATATTATTTTTATTTTTTATTAATTATTTAATAAATATTTATTTATTAATATATTTTTATATTTTATGCATCTATCCTTTTAAATATATTTTAAATTTAAATATTTGTTATCAGTTTATTAATTATTTATTTATTTCAAACATTTAATAATGTTTTATTTATTAAACATAAATTTGCTAAAGATAATATAACATTTTCAATTATTTTTATAGTTATAAAATATATTTTTTTCTAATAAATAAATAAAGATCTGACATAATTATATTTTATATTGTGTTTCTTTTTGATATTTTAGATATAATATGTGCTTAAAAATAAATAATTAATTAAATGAAGATGGCTTATAGAATATTTATATAAAGAGTGATAATTAGTTAAATTTCAAAACAAATATTTAAAGAGGTTAACCATTGACATACATGATAAATTATAAAACTCGTCGCTTTTGTTATGATGTATAGTGTTTTTTTGCCATAATCGATTGTTTAGGGTTTCGAAATAGCGTTTTTCTTTTTTACCATTTTTTTTAAATCTTTACTTTCTATAGTTAAATTAGATAACTGATTCAGGATTATATTTTACTCAATTTGGATTTCTCAGGATTATAGAGGGATATTTTAATCAATTTGGATTTCTCACAATTATAGATGGAGGAGGGAGTCATTTCCTAAGAAAAAAAAAATCATAAAAGAAATAAATTAAAAGTATTTTTATTTAAACCACTAGGTTTTCGTAAATAAATATAAAAGAACATGGTTTTGGTAATTATTTTTCTAACTACTACCCTCTTGTAGAAAAATCTTGTAATCGATCAATCTATCCAATTTTCCGACATCGGTGCTAACTTTAACAATTAATTATTAGATAATGATAACCAATAAAATAACACTAAACGTCATATTGTCATAGACAATAATTAAAGGCTAATTTTTCCGAATCTGCTGCCAAGGAACCAAGGAACATTTTACCAAATCTGAGCTGCCATGCAATCTCTTGGAAGGTTCATAACGACAATTTTCATGAATCTAGCTGTTGCCATATTGTCATATCCGTACGTGGGCTCCGTACTTCGTACCCTTCTTCCGTAGAGATCTCAGATCTAATCCAAAACAATCATCTTAACCCAAAATCCTATATAAACCATCAACAAAAATACTAGTTTGACTTACACGAAGCTTACATACATACAATTTACACTTGCCTCAATCCCTAAACTCCATCTCTTCATTGGCTATGTCGTGCTCTAGTTTCGAATCTTTAAGAGACTTGCATGACTCTGTGAACAACCTGCTTCGTTCCCCAGACATGAAGCGAGTTCTTTCCCACCACAAACATGACCAAAAGTGGGTTCAGAAGGTCTCTGAATCGTCTTTAAAGATGTTAGATTCTTGCGGGACGACCAAAGACATACTGTCTCTTGTTAAAGGTCACATCCAAGAACTCCAGTCCACGTTTCGCCGAGCCAGTAATGGTGAAACGGAGAAGAAGCTAACAGCATATAGTTTTCAAAGAAAGGAGTTGAGAAAACAGATGTTAAAGCGTTTAAACTCGCTGAAGAAGATGAAGAACGCGACTAGTGGTACTGGTCATGATACCATGATCGACGATAATCAAATAATTGTTGCAAATGTGCTCAAAGAAGTGAGAGAAACCATTGTTATATTATTGGAGTCAGTTATGTCGCTTATGTCCATGCCTAACCCTGGCCCTAGCACAACAAAGCTGATGATCAACTGTAATGGGGTTTTGACAGCCAAGGTTAAGTTTACGAGGGTGAATAGTCTGAGCCCATGGGAGGATTGTGACGTGCAAGCCCTTCAAAGTGCAACAGAGAGACTGGAAGCTGTGGAAAGCGCCATGGAAGATCTTGAGGTCGAATTAGAGTGCATTTTTAAGAGGTTGATGAGAACTAGGGTTTTGTTGCTCAACATTCTCACAAACTAGGAGGGTTATATGCTCAAAATATGCTACTATATTAGTATGTTAGACATGTGTTATAATTTAACACCGTCAAAAACTTTGATTTAATGTAGGTAGTATAAAATTGATAATAAATTAAATTAACGTTTAATACTTGACCGATCGAGGAAGTTATACGGTTTTTTTATGAAAGAAATTGTTGATAATTATCAAGTTATTTTCTAGTTTGTAACCAATTTATACTGGTTTATAGAACATGAATCTCTTAATCTATATGAGTATATGTTGCTATAAACTATTTGGTAGCCGATAGCTAGCTATAGTCGAAAATAATCATAAATTGGAAGTTGTATCGAATTCGCCCTCATTACCCTCTCCGCTTGATTTATTGGCCGCAAGTAAAAAGAAATAACAAAAAAAATTAATATCTAATTAAAATGATCGTATATAACAATCATTTGGATTGGTCTGTATGAATACATCATAGATACAATATACATAGATTGTGATCTCTATGCTTCAAGGGATATCCGATTTCCGGATATCCGGTTTTTTGGATTCGGATTCAGATAGTAAATATTGAAATTTTTGGATATTTCGAATATCCGACATCTGAAATTATATAAATATAAATTTTAAATAATAAGTAGTATTTTAGTGTATTTTAAATTGAAGCTCAAATTTACTAAATCATGGGTGAGTATGAACCTGTTACTTAGTAATTAAAGGTATAAATTTCGCATTAGGTTTTCATTTGAACGACACTTTAGTCGATCAAGTTTGCACTTGAACTAAATTAATTATTAGCCGGTATGTTTCTTTAGGAATAACTGTTAATAATTTTGTAGGTGTTTATGACTTCTTTATGGATTTAATCATATTTATGCATTATCAAACATATTAAATTGTTCACTGTAATATCAAGATGAAGTACAGAGCTTAACTTATTTATTGGATTCGTGGTGAAGAAACGTTTTGAATTGTTTTTGTTGGAAATGTATGAACATACCACATCCGCTATTTTTCTAACATCGAAAAACATTTATTATTATCTATTTATAACCGAGCAACAAATTCAAAGGTAATTTTTTTTTTCAAATTTTTGTATGTTTATTTCGTATTAATTTTATATTTTGTTGGTTCTCAATATAAAAATAATGAATTCCAAATATTCGATTTAATATCTAAATCCGTATCCGAAATTTTAGATATCTGAATTTCGAATACAGATTTAGATACCCAAATCCACGATCCGAAATTTCGAATATCCGGTTCCGAACACCTCTACTTTTGAGCACTCTATGGTTGTGAAAGTTGGTAAAAAGTTTTTTAAACTGGATCCATGGTTTGGAGTTAAACAAAATAGTTACTTTCTTTGTGTATTATTGTTTTTAAGTATATTATTATTGCATTAAACCCCAACACTGATCTCAGAGCTATTTTAAGACATTTTTATCAGTTTTTAATAGTTGTATTATTGTTTATAAATCTTCAAGATCTTTAAGAAAAGTCAAAATAAAATACAACAAGTGTTTTTTTTTTGTATTTGTTTTTTTTTTTTATAATTTAACGGTTTCCAAACAAATTTATTAAAGAAAATATTTTGTATTAATAAATTATATATATAATTTAGCAATTCATTAAAGTACTGCTTAATCCCAAAGATAGATGCATTGAATGTTCTTAGTTGTTTGTGTTTAATTGTGATGTATGTTTATGTTTTGGTTCGTATAATTTGTAAAGATGTTGGTAAATCATTTGAGTTGTAAAATCATTTTAGAGGTTGTGAGTTTTTTTCTTGTAATTATTAAACGACTTCTATAGTAAAACCTTAATATAGTCGACCAAACAAATGGATAAGCAAGGCCCACCGACTAGGCCCAAATGTGTTTAATATGTAGGCCCAGTTTGGTATAAACCTTTATGGGTTGTTGGGTAACCATCGACTCGATATCCATCTCTTGTCAATCATTCTCGACTTGATCATTATAAATCGGTGAGTTGCGATGGTAGGTGAAGGCCCTTTCGGTAATGTTACTCAGCGGCAACAACAACATGACGCGATGGCAACGGCGACAAGCCATGGACGTAGCTGCAAGAATTCGGCGCATTTTGATTTTCATAAATTATTTTTTGATTAACTATTTATGGCTCAAGGAATAATCCCTTTACAAATGCTAAAACTGATCCATTTAAATCATCAAAAGAATATCGAAAACCATTTTCTGAACAATGCATGAAAAGAAATAATGTTTCGTGTCAAATCTGATGAATAACAACAATTCAACAAATCAATCTTAACATCACTACTAAGCACTAGACTATAAGTTTCAATCTTGATAACAGGTGAAGATCGCCTATTCCCTCTGATCAGATTTATTCTTCCATGCTCCACTTCCTCACTTTTTTTAGTCCCTGCAAATCAGAACAAATGTTAAACTCACATCATGTATCAAGGACCCAAGAACGAGTAAGTTGTGAGTTATTGACTTGAATAGTGTATATACCTGCTGACGATGGCTTAACTTTGCCATCCTTTACGTCCTGCAAGTACTTGGCACAACTTCGTTTCCAGTGGCCTTTCTCATTGCAATAATAACAAACAGCCTCTTTGGGATCACTCACAGCTGGAATATCAGAACTAGGCTTGGTCTTAGACCCATTACTAGACGATCCAACATGGCCCTTTCCCTTCTAGTTTGATTGAGGATTAGAATTCCTCATCTTTCCCCTGCTTTGCCCAATGGCTAGGACTGGAGCACTCATTGTAGAAGGGACTTGATTCTTTTTCATCCCCACCTCAGCTGTCTGCAACAAGTTATGGAGTTGGGTCAATGTGGTCTCTATGTTGTTCAAATGATAAGTTAAAATGAACTGATCATAACTAGGAGGAAAAGAGTTATGTACCATATCTATGGCCACCTCTATGTCAAAAGATACGTTGAGCTTTTCCAGTCTCTCCATATATCTCTGCATCCTCTACACACGACTACAAACAAATTCTCCATCCTTCAGTTTGCAAGCCATTATGCCTTGACGACCCCGTACCTCTCTTGACGTGCTTTCTTGTGAAACTTTTCCGCAAGATCCAAGCACATCTCATATGGCCAATAGTCCTCATAGAACTTTTGCAACTCAGGTAACATGGTTGCGACCATTATGCCACCTCTATGTCAAAAGACACGTTGAGCTTTTCCAGTATCTCCATATATCTCTGCATCCTCTACACATGACTACAGACAAATTCTCCATCCTTCAGTTTGCAAGCCATTATGCCTTGAAGACCCCGTACCTCTCTTGACGTGCTTTCTTGTGAAACTTTTCCGCAAGATCCAAGCACATCTTATATGGCCAATAGTCCTCATAGAACTTTTGCAACTCGGGTAACATGGTTGCGACCATTATGCAAGCGATCTTTGTTACATCGTCATAGTGTTGTTTATAGGCAGCTTGTTCCTCTGGAGTAGCAGTTGACTCATCGATTTCAAGTAGAGGTTTATCGAGGACATATTCTTTGCCCTCATATCAAAGAGTCATTTTGAGATTTCACATCTAGCCCATGTAGTTTGGACCAACTAATTTCTCTTTGGAGATGATTGATAGTAGAGTGAAGTTTGATATGTTGTTGTTGTTGTTGGAGGTTTGAACAGCAATAGCATTACCATTAGAAGTAGAATCTATCAGAGAAGAAAAGTTTTAGTTAGTTGATATGAATGATGTCACACCCCCAAACCAGAACGGCGGAAACGTCCGGGGGCGGAGGACGTCATGCTCAGTATCACAACAAATGTAAAATAGTAAAAACAAACAACAACATCCATTGCATTAATGACATAGTTAATACATGTGTGTTCATTGTATAGTTGTATGACACTAAAAGTATAGCAAAATAAAAGACGAGTCTTGAACATGCTCCGTCTTCTCGAAACCTATGCTAGCGTACCTGTCTACTGATTCCCTAAGAATACAAGTTATTTTGAAAGAGAGTATCAACATTTAAGTTGGTGAGTTCATAAGTATTTAATGTGAATTGTTTGTAGTTGTTTCATGAAAATGTCTGTATTTGATCTATGAAAGTGTTAGTTTATGTTCTCCAGAAAATCCTATATTTTCTATAATAAATGAAAAGTAGTCTTCAACCCTAAGACTCAAATGTTTGTATGTTTTGTTCTCTTGAACAGTGTAAATGTATGTTTTGTTTTCTGTAACAGTGTAAATGTATGTTTGTACTCATAAATTGTATAATGTATGTTTTCCATAAAGTAGACTATCTTTACCAGAAAAATAGTATGCTTGTTCATGTATGAACCATTCTGTGTGCAGATAATGAAAAATAATAACTTGCATTAGTATTGTTAAAATACTACTGCAAGATTACTAATCACTGAAGTAAGTTTGTTTTGTAAACCGACTGTAAGATTACTAATCAATTGAAGTTATATATATTACTCGTAAATAGGTCGGGATTTTCTCCCTGTGAGTTCTTATAACCATACTAACCCTGTCTGCCTGATAACGTGTAACATACATGTTTATAATCATGTATAATTATCATGTTTTATTTAAAAATGAATATTATTAAATAATATATGAATTTGAGTGTTGAGTTCTAACAAGTTAGTTTTATGAGATTTGAAGTAAAAGTATGTTTAGAATCATTATGAAGGTATTGGAAGTCTTATGAGATTCCAATCAAAAGTCAATTATCATAATTAACGAAAATATAAAGTTGGAAATAAGTAAAAATAATGTTATTGAAAGTTGTAGATTATCTCGTTAGAAACATTTAGGCGAAAATCTCACTAAAATCCGAGTTATAACGAAGAAGTTATGACTTATTGAAGTTTCGCGACAGAACCGGCACGACACCATATAACGTAAAAAGTGAGTTTACGATAAACTACTTTTTAGCCTTTGTGATCTAAATGAAAGTCGTAATATTCGTTAAACCGAGAATTTTCATAAAAATAACGTCAAAATCTGACTTCATATGAGGAAGTTATGATTTTTCTAAGAATCGGCAT